ATCTGAGACCTGAAGTAGACACTTTCACTTTGCTCTAACACGCCCAGCTGACGTCCCCACCCATGTATTTGAAACATGTCTTCATTTATGAATTTTTTGCTCTGTTATTAAAAACCTTCCACATTACCATATTGGAACATGGTATTAGGGTAACCTGAATCTCTGCCCTTGGGCCATGGTCTCTCAGATCTGCCTCCAGAAAAAACTATCTCTTATTCTGCTTGAGGGGTGAGCTATGTTTTTGTGTTGATACGTGACATGATTTACCATACCAGAAGCTAATGTAAATAAGCATGGTGAGTAGTTTTGAAGGTGTGTGTGTCGTGGGGGGAGGGGTGCATGTGAGTGTGGGTGCCTGTGGAGGCATTAGATCCTCTTGGAGCTGGGTGGTTGTGAGCCACCTGACATGAGTACCAAGAATCGAACTCGGGTCCTCTGCAAGAGCTGTAGGAGCTCTTAACCACTGTGCCATCTCTCTAGTCCCTGTATTTGGCTTCTTCCTTCAAAAATCACATGACCATCACATCCCATTCTTAGAAGAGAACATAACTTGTCCCTGTAGCCATGGCAACCACATAAGGAAAAGAACAATTACAGTCCCTTACAGGAGGAGGAAGAGATCACAAGACCCTGACCTGGCCTGGGATTCCAGACAGTACCCCTCCTCCAGTTCCACGTTAGATCCTCTTGGAGCTGGGTGGTTGTGAGCCACCTGACGTGAGTACCAAGAATCGAACTCGGGTCCTCTGCAAGAGCTGTAGGAGCTCTTAACCACTGTGCCATCTCTCTAGTCCCTGTATTTGGCTTCTTCCTTCAAAAATCACATGACCATCACACCCCATTCTTAGAAGAGAACATAGCTTGTCCCTGTAGCCATGGTAACCACATAAGGAAAAGAACAATTAACAGTCCCTTACAGGAGGAGGAAGAGATCACAGGACCCTGACCTGGCCTGGGATTCCAGACAGTACCCCTCCTCCAGTTCCACGTGATGTTGGGAGATGCTAGCATGTATAAGAAGTGGAAGGTTCATGCAAAGTAGAACTGTCTTGCAAGTTCTCGTGGTCATCATCCATGATGGCGGGGTGTGGGGTGAGGGT